CTCTCTGCTTCTCCCCAACTCACGCTCTGTCCCTGTCTGTCTCTCTCAAAAGCAAAATTAAAAAAATTTTTTTTCACTTCCTAAATGCTATTATCTCACTGTCTCATTCTTTTTAAAGTTTGTTATTTATTTACTTAGAGAAAGAGAGCACAAGAAGGGAAGGGCAGAGAGAGAGAGAGAGAGAGAGAGAGAGAGAATCCCAAGCAGGCTCCGTGCTGCCAGCACAGAGCTCGATGTGGGGCTCAATCCCATGAACCACGAGATCATGACCTGAGCTGAAATAGAGTCATACACTCAACCGACTGAGCCACCCTGGTACCCCTCTCACTGTTTCATTCTTTAGATTTGCCTCTTATCTCATTTTAAGCAGTTCATCAGTTTATATAAACATTTTATCATTTTCATTTCTATGTTACTATTTTAAGTGTATCTTTTTTATTAAAGCTTCAGTGGTGTCTTTATTTTCACTGCAGTTACTGTTTTTTGCTTTAATTTTTTTCAGTTACTTTTTTACTTCAATATTTTTGAAATTGCGATATCGTTAAAGCTGTAATAACCTTTTTATTTCTTTTACTTACTAAGTAACAGGTAAATAGTAAGAGCAAAGTTTTGAGACTAGTTCATCTCTGAGAGCAAAGATGATTCAGGGAGTTTTTCGTACTCCAGTTTCCCTTGAAAGGAATCCACTTCTGAATTTATCCATTTAAAAACAACACAGAAATGAGAACTCTGGCCCATCTGGAGCACTGGAGATCCCAAAGGATAGCATTCCTCTCTACAGATCACAGCTCCTGCCCTTCATGGAGAAGCCTTCAGAAACAGAGACTGTGGGTCAACTTCATAATGTAAAACTGCACATTCATTTAAGTGGGCTTTGGTTACCACCAAATTAGTCAGCTAAGATACACAGTGTACAAAACTACATTTACATAGCAGGTTTAAGACTGATGTCCTTAGCAAGGTGCTTTCAAGGTTGGCCTTAGCTTCCACCTGGGAACTCGACTGGTAAACAGCTCCCTGCACTGACATCAGACTTTCCCTCGTTATCACGGTGATTCGAGGTGCCCAGACCGTGCAAACAATAAGGTTTATGCAGAACATCTGCTTTCCTTCGGGAAGTCTGGAATTTTGGCTCATGCTAATCAGAGGATGCTTACCTGACCAGCCCCCAATAAAAACCTTGGTGCAGAGTCTCTAATGAGCTTCCCTGGTAGACAACACTTCACTTGTGTTGTCACCACTGGTTGCTGGAGAATTAAGCACATCGTGTGTGACTCCACTGGGAGAGGATGCTTGGAAGCTTTTGCACCTGGTGTCCTCCAGGCCTCACTCCATGCACCACTTCCCTCGGCTGATTTTGCGGTTTCCTTTCACTGTAATAAATCTTAGCTGTGAGTGCACCCACATGCTGAGTCATGTGAATCCTTCTAACAAATCATGGAACCCAGGGGTGATCTTGGGGACACCGACAAACAGGGCTTCTCCTAGCTCCAGAATGGCTGATAATTAGTTCCTGACTCGGTAATTGACATTTAGCTCTCCTCCAGACAGGATGGATGAAAGTTTCCTCTTTCGGTTTACCCTGGAAATTAGCAATCCCAACCCCCTGTCACTGAAAAAGGAATCCTTAATTAAGGATAATTTTCCCAACAGACTTAAGTTTAAAATGGATCAAACTATTGTAAAGTCTCAGTTCATCAGCTTGGTCGAGTGTCAGGGTCTCTCACTTCTTGTCGCAATGGGACAGCCATCTTGGGGCCAGTGCCCCTCACTCAGCCTCTGCTGCAGTGTCTGAGAAGGAGAACTCCGAGGCTGGTGTTCCGTGCCAGTGGGATATGAGACACTCTGAGCTGGTGTCTCTGCTCTGTTTTATGGTTTCTGAAGTGCAGTCATTCAATGTGGTCCCCGGCCATTACTCTGCGGCCATTGAAGGCATGTGATCTAGGTGATAAAGCAGGGTACTGACTTGGCCTGAAGCAGCAGGAAAATCTTGGACACGCTGCTGTACTTGTGAAGGAAATTGGTGTGCAAAATGGCCAAGGGAGAGAAGAAGTGAATATTATATACTTCCTCAAATCAGGAAAAACTAAGGCCTAGTCAACTAAACCCACTGGTTACAATCAGCGGATGCCACGTTATTTACAACTGAAGCTACGTGAGAAGCTAATTGATTACATCTTTCTAGAGTTGAGAAACCACCTGGAACTTGCCTCGTGGGGTATGGCATCTCTCTCAGAATGTGCAGTGCAGCATTAAGTCTCTCTGCCTGCAAGAAACCTAGATTTTTAAAAATAGTTCCATTTCTTCCAGAGTCTTACTTTTTTTTTTAAAGACAAGAATGGATTGGCTCCTCTAATCTCAGGTCTCTAGGACCCCCATATCTCCCAGGTTTTGCTTCTCAGTGCAAAAAAGGCATATGTTATACGTCAGAGCTTCATCTCTATCAGCTCTCAATAAGGCCAGATGTACACCAGATAGATGACAGATAGATACTTACGTAGACTATCATTATACTATTCTGATCCCTGATTTCAATTTGTCTTTTGAACTTTCTATTTTATGTCCCTGACAATCATTTTTGGAGATCTGGATGTCAAGATTGACAATCTCACTTGGAGATTATCTCTTCTTTAAAAACATTTTTAAACCACTTTATTGAGGCATGACTGACATCCAAAAAGCTGTGCATATTTAATGTATACAACTTGATGGGGTTGGAGTTAAGTACACATCCAAGAAACCACTACCAGTCTTGCCCATCACCTTCAAAAGTTTCCTCCCATCCTCTTATAATAATTGTCATTATCATAATTTTGTAGTAAAACCACTTAACAGTAAGATCTACCCTCTTAGCAAATTAGTAAAAGGGTACAAAGTAAGTTCTAGAGATCTACTACACAGCTTGGTCCTATTGTTAATAAGCACGTATTGTAGTATTCTTAAATTTTTGAGTAAAATAAATACCAATAAGGTGTCCTGGAGATGAATGAAGGTGAGCATTTAGCGTAAACTTGCCCAACCCGGGAAGAGAGGACCAATACCCTATGACATCTGAGAGGACTATTTGTCTCAGCTTCTGGCTCCAGCATCTGTTATCTCAAAACTTGGTGTCCAAAGCCCCTTTTTTGCTCCTCTGTGGTACACCTGGTCCATTCTTTGAAGCCAGTTTAAATCCCCTTGGAAGAGAGCCATGATAGTAGTAAACAAAATACATCTGACAGATCATTACCCCCAAATCTGAAGTTTCATGTAAATGTATAAACATTTGCAGCTGGAATCATTTCTACAGTTTCTACCTTGACCCCTTTTTCACTTAGGAGTCCAACCTCTCAGAACCACTTTGGTCAACTTGATTAGAAGCAAAAGAGAAATAGCCAGTGGTGATGTGAATCTTCGCTATTTGGGTATACAGGTTAAAGAAAGGTATGGTGAGTGAAAAGGTCACTTAGTTTATGTTTGTCCATTTGAAACCAGTTTTCAAGTAACTGTATGTTGCATTAAAAGTAGTCTTTCGAAGACAAAAATCATAGGACTTCACTCATGAGGACTTTAAGAGACAAAACAGATGAACATAAAGGAAGGGAAACAAAAATAATATAAAAACAGGGAGGGGGACAAAACAGAAGAGACTCTTAAATATGGAGAACAAACAGAGGGTTACTAGAGGGGGTGTGGGAGGGGGGATGGGCTAAATGGGTAAGGGGCATTCTACTGAAATCATTGTTGCACTCTATGCTAACTTGGATGTAAATTTAAAAAAATAAAATTAAAAAAAAAGTAGTCTTTTGATGTAAGTTTCTACTTGCACTCACCAAAAAGGTTTAAAATTCTCTAGAAAAGCTATTTTTCTCCTTCTTGATATGATTATCATAATTCAACCCATAGAAAAGGAACAGGGTGGGAATATATTAACATTTCAATCCAGCTCAAAATAACATCATACAATTATTTTCTACGTTCCTTTCTAAGCCATGAATGCCACTACTATGAAAGCTATGTGTAAATAAAGAAGTTTTATCTTCTGCTATAAAGTATATCTTGCTGTAATTGGAAATTCCCTAATTAATCTTCAAAGGAGACAGGCTGAGACCAAATTCTTGCCTTGCTGGGCGTTATAGAGAGGACTGCAGGGTTTTTGCAAGCACCACTAACTTTGCCTTACGAGGTCACTTCAGGAAAGAGCCCAGGCTTCTTCCAGAACATGAAACACCACAGAATACTGTCCAGCTTATACCCCAACAACTGGTGTAAGTGGAAACCTTTAACACATTGGTAGTTTAACAAATGTCACAAAGGAAAGCATACAAGTGTGAACCATTTTGAAAATACATTTCTGTGGCTTATCGTTGGTAAACTCATGTTCCACCTGTTCATTGCACCCCAGCTGAATAGATATGGGGTAGCCTCTCCAGTTGTGTTTGGAGGTTTATAAATCATCTAGGGACAATAAAACCATGTAAACTCAATGACGGCTAGGTCAGGAATTTGTTGGAACTGGTTAACTGACTGACTAAATAGTTTGACTATGTTCTTCATAAGAACTAAATCTGCAGAAAAATATTTTCTGCCCTTCATGAATTCCGAAGAACTCTCCTTCCCTAAGATGTGGTCCCATGACAACTTCAGTACCCCACCTGTCTCCTGCAGTGTTGTGAGAACTTCTAATTGGCAGATTCTCAACTCAAGAAGTGAAACTACCTTCCCACCCACACCTTTTTCCCTGTGCTCTGAAACAAAAAAAAAAAAAATGTAAAGACAAAAGAGAAGGGCAAAACCTTAGAAATTTCACAACCCGAGGAGATCCAGTTTTAATACATAAAGTATCTTGAATAAGTAGTGTAGCTTCTTTCTCTCAAGCTGCCTCTTCCAAGAGGTGAGGTTTCTTCCATCTGATTTATTTCTATAATTTCTCCTTAAGAAAAATGGCCATTCTTACTCAAAAGGCACCAATCACCAGTGTATCATACAATAGTCGTAAATGACCAAGCAGGACCCAAAACTCTGATCACAATCAGTGTTTTATTAACAGACAGGAAAATTATATAGAGAGAAAAACAGCAGGAGCCTGACATTATCTGACTTTTGTGAAAGGCAACGTATAAGGTTTCTTTGTGCTCACTGTCATATACTTCAAAAAATGGCCACAACCTGGAAAGTCAATACAAGATAAACTGAAAATCCAGAATGGAGATCTTGAGAAACTTGAAAGGCACCAACCAGAATGGATCAAATAGAAAATTATAAAGAGACTTCAGTACACTGATAACTCAAAATCCAAATTATAAAAGTCAGGGGAAACATAAATTGCATAAAACTTTTATTATTTATTAGCAGTGCATTTTTCTACACTTTAAAATAGAACAAATTATCTTTTGGAAGGTAAACTATTCATAACAAAATACATGTCAACAATTTTTTTATTTTTGGAGTAGAATTACTTTGCTATATACTTTCTATATTATATACATACACTTCTTGATTTGTCTATGTATGGACATGTGTACAAATAATTCTAAGACATACACATGTTGATACATAGGACTAATATACAACATAATTATGGAGAATTTATAGTAGTCAATTTTACAATCATTTCAATAGCTGCACACAAATTAGTGTTCACAGAACTAAAACTGTCCATATGGTTCCCTTTTCCCCACTTTTCAAACGTCATCTGAATTACTTTTCACTGATTTTTTTTAAATACTACCATCTTCCTGTACAACTAACCACTCTTTTTTTTTACAATAACTCATAATAAAATATTTTACTCTTTCAGTTTTAGAAAAGGTATACAATTTAATTTCACTTATTTTAATTTTTGACTCCTAAAACATACAATTCATTTTTTTCATCAGCTTAGTGCAATTATTTGGTACTGCAGTTACTGAAGCTTAAGTAATGAACCTGAGCCAAACATTCATTCAAATGCCTTTTTTAAATGTAAAACATGAACAAGATGTTTTGCCGAAGCATGTGTAATAGCCTCAAGGTACCCCATCCTTAATAAATATATTATAAATAACTCAGTGGTTGAGAGGAAAGCACTTCATGTGGATCCACTTAACTGTCTGAACAGTCCATTCTTAAGCAGCATGGAAGATAATCAGAATCTAAGGCTCCCCACACCCCATGGAAATGAAACCTACGGGCTTCTGAGGCCTGATGCCAGATTACACTTACATAAAAGGGCTGTGAGCACCTGTCAGGGGTCCCTTCATTTCCACGTTAGGTTTCTGACATGCTGGCTTGTGTCTTAGGTGTTCGTAATCTGTTACAAACATATCTCCTTTAATACAGAGAAACAGCAGCATCTTATTCAGTTTTTTCTCTTCATTGATTTAAAACTGGTGCCAGACCACGTGTGGTTATAGACAACAACCTCGTACCAAAAGCAAAATATTCTAACTGGGTTAAGAACTCTCTCAAGAGGAAGAAAGAAATAAAAGCATTTGGAATGTTGAGTCATTTCATAGAGAAAAACTGTGTTTTCAGGAGAAACGTTCAGTGAATTCTGATCTTCAACTGGATGTTAAATTTTGTTAAAGCTCCACAAGGATGCGAAACTAAACAGCTGAGCAACAAAAACAAAAGGGAAAGGAAACGGTCTGAACAAGCCATATCAAAGGATTATCCTCTTGCCAGAGATAAGCTTGCATAAACTCATTACATTAGACTGACTTCCCAAAAGAATGAACTGATCTGCCCTATTCATAGGGGACATAAAAAAATCACTTTCTAAAAACTTTCTCCCTTACTTTTTCTTAATAAAGAGGAATTATTTATTCATCGTAGACAAAACCATACTAAATAAATTCAAAATACAAATTTTTGGTAGCAAACGACAAGAAAATCTAAGTCAAAATAGAGTCTAGTTTTTACATAATTTTATAGATTTATAAATTTATCAAAATAGTCTTTTAAAGTTCACAATACATACATAATGTAACACTGTACATGTAAAGGTAGTAGCAAATGTATTACCGAAATACATTAAAAATAACCTTTCAAAATACCAAATTCAACATTAAAACGGTCTTAAAAAGCATTGACATCTCCATAAACATAGTTTCAGTGCATTTATAGTAGTCATTAACCAGAGTTTTCTGGTTTCAAGTCTCTTGAAGGTCTTATGTGAGTGCTCTCCTTAATTTAAGGTAAGAAGGCAGAAATATCCCTCGAACAGCAGTGGCTTTCTCTCTACATTGCTCGTCCAGATGAAGACACTGTCTAAGAGTGGAACAGCCTTCGTCGGAGCGGCAAGGCCTTAGTAATGAACATATTCAGACTGAAGGGACTGTGCAGGGGGGAGAGACATAAACTGAGGTTAAAGCCCATCACATACAAGACTCGTGGTACACATCATGCAGCTATTTCCTTCAACACAAGGCAGTTTGGGTCTATTATATAGAAGATAAGTGAAATAAACTAAGAAAAAAAATAGAAAAGGCTGGGGGGGGGGGAACAAAAACAAAGCACCTGCTAAGAATAAGATAAGCAATTATGTGGAGTGACTGCAAGAAAACTTTGTATTTTAAAAGGCCTACAATTTATTAATAGCAGTTAAAAATGAAGTATTATGTGCAAATTGGTAGGTAGCACTAAACTCACTTCTAAGCTTTTGTGCAATAATGAGTTTTACTCAAAAACATTAAGTGATATTTGTAAGTAAATTGAAGTTTATCAGAATATACTTTAAGATTATATATACTTTAATGCAATACATATCAAATGTTAAAGCTTCTAATGCAGTAGAGTTAGCAGTCATCTAAATAAATTCCTTAAGAATGCTTGAATTTAACAAAGAGCTTGCAAATCCTTTCCATGGAGGGGGACACAAAGCACTTCTACTTTTGAAATCTAAGCTCAAGACCCAAAAGCCCTTGTGCAGAAGAATCTTGCAATTATAACATGATAAATAGTGGGCAGCTTTCAAGAAAAGAAGATACACAAATTCCTCCCCCGTCATATTAGATAATCACATATAAAAGGAACATGGTTGGGATATGTAACCAGAATGCATTGATAATAGACATTATCCAGGAAAAGAGAAAGATAGAGAGGAAAAAATGGCCAAATACTTATATTTGAGCAGCAAACAGCAGTTAGAAAGAAGGAACACAAACCAGTTTAACACGAACATATTCTTTTGCACAATTCTTCAAATACCTTAGAACAACAAAGTTTACTTGATTTGCCACCAAATGTCCTTTTCTACTTCTCCAATAATTATTTTTCAAGTTGATCTGTAGCATGCTATTAATAGGTCTTATCAGTTCTGAGACTGGCCCATTTTGTGGATGGTAGGGGTATCGGTAAAAAGAATGTCAATTATGCAAAAATAATCTACAAAAGATTCAAACTATCTTTGCTCAGCTTCAAAATTCCAGTGAATTTTATAGCCTATCGACAGCCGTTTACTCAGTAAGCATCTATCAACACTGTGAGTCAAAAAGTCACCAGCCTGTCCTCAAGGGCGAAAGTCCACACTGTCATACAAACAACATGAAGAGACAAAGGTGTCAATGTTCAATAACATGCATAGCGTGAAGTAACACTGTACACAAGAAAGGATCAGGCAAGGGAAGGGAAGGCTTGGGGAAGGCAGAGGCTCCCAAGCCTGCAAGTTTCAAGGAAGAGGTTAAATGTTAAGAGCTGCTAGGAAGAATGGAAACGGCTGGCAAGTTGACTTTCTCACTACAGGATGCAGTTTAGGCCAAGGCTTCAGAACAGGGGACATGATCAAGAAGTAGGGCACTATAATGTAAATATGCCTGAACTCACAGAAAGCCTAAGAGGTAAGACTGAGAAAAGTCCAGTAAAACTGTTCCAATGTCTTGAAGCCTACATACAATTAACCTGTAGGACCCTCAGTTGCCATCCTAACAATTAGAACTTAAAAGTGGACTATTATTGGGGCACCTGGGTGGCTCAGTAGGTTAAGCGTCTGATGTCAGCTCAGGTCATGATCTCAGGGCTCGTAAGTTCAAGCCCCCACGTTGGGCTCTGTGCTGACAGCTCAGAGCCTGGAGACTGCTTCAAATTCTGTGTCTCCTTCTCTCTCTACCCCTCCCCCACTCATTCACACTCTATCTCTCTCTCTCTCTCTCAAAAGTAAATAAACATTAAAACAATTTTTAAGTGGACTATTATTTTTCCAGCTGTTTTTCGCAGTTTCTTTTGAAGTCTGGCAAGTAGGCCAAGAGAGCGGGGCCAGGTGGTCCTCCCCGGCTGCAAGCCTGCTTGCTATACAATGGCCAATGCTTTGGTAGTAATATTGAAATTTTGCTTTTGTTCCAGTTAGAAAAGTTATTTATGTTACCACTAATGGTACTTCTATAGCTCCTCAGATTGTTTGTAAATTTAGAACAAAGTTGTTTCTGCAAACAGCCCTAAAGTTCCATCAAGTCTCAATAGACAGAGATATAGCAAATGAACAGATACTAGGCAAGTGACCTTTGTTAAACTAACTTTCTTTCAGTGCATCATATGTGCATCAATATGGAGGGGGTAAATATGTGTATGTACATATCTTTACTTATTTTATGGAATCATGATGCCCACTGAACTGAAAAACAGAAATAGTCTACAATCGCTTTAGGGATTTCTATCATTCATAGAAGTATATATTCATATTCACCTCTGGCAGAAGCTTTCCTTACACACAGCAGCGGTCATCACTCTGGCTGCTGTTTCATCTGACCTACAGATACAGTTTAGCACAATCCCTCTTGCTTCCTCTGCCATCCCGCCCCCTCTCCCCCCACCATGTGCTCACTTAATGGTACCCAACTGGCTCTGAGTCCTCTGTAAACAAATAAAGACATGAGTTGGCTGAAGAATGGACCTTCTGTCATGCTGGGTAATTCATTCAACAAATAATGATTAAACATTAGTAGTATACATTTGGCACTGGGGGATAAAAATAAGATACAAAAGTTCTTCCACGGTTTGTTTATACTGTATAAAGAAAGTGAAAGGAAATAATAGATCAGTAAAGAGACTTAATAAATTAGTCTGACATCAGCATTTTGTAACAAATTAACTTCCTTTCATTTTCAATCTAAAACAAAAATCTTAATGGAAGTGGAGTTAGGGAAGAAAGAGAACTGGTAAAGTCTACAAGACATATTCACTTGAAAAAAAACATAACTAATATTTCTAGGCTTTTTCACTGGGGAAGCAATTATGTGGGATGACAGTAACATTTTGATTTCACATGCTTCCATGATGGCATTGTACTGAGGGTCTCTGGCTCATCTGTTACCTGTATCCTAAAGTTACTAATAAATATCCCAGAAAACACAATAACCCATTATTAGCATTGCTAATTTTTATTTTTATTTTTTTTTTCAACGTTTATTTATTTTTGGGACAGAGAGAGACAGAGCATGAACGGGGGAGGGGCAGAGAGAGAGGGAGACACTGAATCGGAAACAGGCTCCAGGCTCTGAGCCATCAGCCCAGAGCCTGACGCGGGGCTCGAACTCATGGACCGCGAGATCGTGACCTGGCTGAAGTCGGACGCTTAACCGACTGCGCCACCCAGGCGCCCCAGCATTGCTAATTTTTATAGCAAAGATGCAAATGTATTTTGTATCCCACAACCAATATCATTACTGCTGTTGACTTTATTATTCAGGAAATAAAGTACAACTATCTGGAATTCTTAATAAACTAGATATATTACTGAAGAGGTCAATTATTCTGTGATAGATATTTGTTGAGTACTTCCTATATACCACGCACAGTTCTAAACATTTTATATGTATGAACTCATTCAATACTCCAGACAACTCATTTTACAGATAGGAGATTGAGGCACAGAGCAGTCAAGGACTTTGCCCAAGGTCACACAACAAGGAAGTGGAAGAGTTCATATTTTAACTCAAGCAGTCTGGCTCAAAGCCCAAATGCTTAGCCACCATAGTATAACACCTCAATATACTTCTAGCCTTTGTCCTGTGATCACTGCGTAATCAGTTGGACATTCTCTATCACCCGAACACAAACAATAACCTGAAGCAGGGGTGCCTGGGTGGCTCAGTAGGTTGAGCCTCATGGTTCATGACATGGAGCCCCACGTCTCAGCTTGGAGCCCACTTGGGATTCTCTCTCCCCCTCTCTCTCTCCCTCCCCTACTTCTTTCTCAAAATAAATAAACTTAAAAAAAAATAACTTGAAGCATGGTGTGATCCTGAGCAAAGAAATATTACAGTACAAAAAAAAGAAAGCAATATTTATTATACCATAAAGGAGATATATACATTTTAAAAATGAAAAATCCTTATAGGACCTAATCCAAAGTAATTTTCAGGAATACTCTAAAAATAAATTTCCTTTATAAAAACACCCACACTTCAGTATTCTGATTAAAGTTTTAATTCTGGGGGCGCCTGGGTGGCGCACTCGGTTAAGCGTCCGACTTCAGCCAGGTCACGATCTCGCGGTCCGTGAGTTCGAGCCCCGCGTCGGGCTCTGGGCTGATGGCTCGGAGCCTGGAGCCTGTTTCCGATTCTGTGTCTCCCTCTCTCTCTGCCCCTCCCCCGTTCATGCTCTGTCTCTCTCTGTCCCAAAAATAAATAAACGTTGAAAAAAAATTAAAAAAAATAAAAATAAAAAAAAATAAAGTTTTAATTCTGCTTGGCCAATGTTTATCACTATCATAAGAACTAATACCTAATGCATCTGAAATAAAAAAATAAATGCAGGAATGACAATGGATACGGTTATGGAGGAAGCAGTGCTTGAAGTATAAATATTATTTTACAAGGTAGCACTTATTTGTACAATCAAGAGATTTTAATTTCTCAAACAGAATATTCAAGTTTCTGTGCCAGTAAGTTCAACGGGGTTATAGTGAGTTAAGACCAGATCAAGTTTATCATGAATATATGGTGTTTTTATAGTGTGAATCCCATAAAAGTAATAATACAGCAATATTAAGCCTGCAAAATAAGGATAAAATTACTTTACACTTGCAGCCCCCAAAAATTTTATGTCAAAATATAAGCTTCCATCAAGAAGTCTTGTTCCCTGAAAGCAGTTAGATTTGACATAAAACAAAGTGTTAGGTAAGGAGATCAAGACAATTTGTTCTGTTCTGGAAATTTGCTACTAATCTGTTTTGGCAGATGTAGGTAGTGACTTTAAAAATTTAGCTATTCTGGAGGTGTTTCTTTTTTAAACAGCCCAGTTACCTAATCACGGTAGAAAAATGTCTAATAATGACAGGTATAAATACTGTAAGATGGTTACTAAATACAACTATACGCTGACTATCAAAAACAGCAAACT